TAATTTCTTGGTTTTGCAAACTAATTAATACATAATTACGTAGTAACTAGTAAGTAACCCCTTTTTCGGTTTTGGTGAAAGGAGTATAATTCCCCCAATCAATATCCACTTACTAAAGTTTCCAAAAATATACGATCCTAATGACAATTTCAGTCAAATATTTATGTCCCTTTGACCATAATATCTATTTCCTGTTAAAAATTTAAAAGATCAAAACTATACCTTTCTCTCCTTGACCTCGTGATGTGTATATATATAACAGAGTATCCTCAGTTTTGAGGACAGAATACAAATAAAATGTCTACAAGAATTAAGATGGCCCTCGTAATAAATCTTCTCTCTCTTTTGTTCTCAGTAGTCCTAGTTCGTTCGGATCAAAGTACAACGCTTCTTAGATCGTCCATGGTTAGCTTTTAAACAAATACTTGAGACACATGTCTGCTTCTATTGTTTTGTACCTACTTCATTAGTAATTTAATAACAAAGCCGGAATTATCATCATTTTAATTTAACTAGTAATTTAACATCAATCTTTTTGTAAGTTCAATTCTCACATCTTTTTTTTGTTTGTCATTAACAGATACGCGGAAATGTAACATACGATTGCATTGATATCTATAAACAATTTGCACTTGATCATCCTTTGCTCAAAACTCACAAAATCCAGGTGCATGGTCTCCAAAATTTACTGTCGTACAATTTTACTTTTATTTGTCTGATAAATATTGACTATATTATTTACTGTTTGAGAAAGATGAAACCAACAGTTTCAAGAACTAAATTCAAGAATCATACTAGCAACGACAAAACATCTTCTAAGAATAGAATAGGATGTCCAACTGGAACTGTTCCTATATTGAGAAATACAAAAGAATTCATTACAAACTCGGAACATTTCGCCGATAAATATTTGCATCCCTTATCAGCCGATAGCCCAGGAACACATGTAAGCATTTATCTCAAGTTTTGTTCTCCTAAAACGTAGATCTAATAATGTTAGTTATATGTCTTCAAGTATTAAGTCATAATTGATATAATCACCTTTTTGTAGGTTGCTGGAGTAAGGTCACGTATGGTCCATTCCATGGTGTAAAAGCATTTTTTGATGGACATAATCTAAACGTCGCAAAAGATCAAGCCTCGTATGAGAAAATATATATAGGCAGTGGATTAAATAATCAGGTCAATTTTATCTCAACGGGTTTGATGGTATG